TCATTTAAAGCAACAGTTGATGGTTTTGTGCATTGTCGTCCTGTAATTTCCATAGACGATACTCATGTATATGGAAAGTATGATATTAAGCTTTTGATTGCAGTTGCAGTAGATGCCAATAGACAAATATTTCCATTAGCTTTTGCCATTTGTGCCAACGAAAGCGAAGAGACGTGGACGCTTTTCTTGAACCACTTGAAGCAGCATGTTGTCAAACAACGTTCAGGTATTTGTCTAATATCTGATCGACATGGTGGTATTTTAGGTTCTATACGACACTTTCTTGAATGGCAGGAACCATATGCATACTACCGTTACTGTGTGAGGCACCTGAAGGCCAATTTCCAGAAGAAATATCCTGACAAGGCCTTGCATGACTTAATATGGATGGCTGCAACTAAGCACCAACAGTGCAAATTCACCAGGCGCATGGAAGCGATTCGACAGATAGATCCACGAGCCTATACTTGGTTGATGGGACATGAGCTTCACATATGGACATTGCATGCTGATGGCGGCAGATGATGGGGAGACCTCACTAAAAACTGTCGGAGTCATTCACCGGCTTGTTGAAGTCTGTCCATGGACTGCTTGTCACTGCCATGGTCCGCATGACATTCAAACAGAGTGCAGAGAGGTTAGTTGAAAGGCATGGAGCTGCATAGGCATTGATGGACATGGGTGTTCAATTTATGCCAATACCCATGAGAAGATTTGAAAGGTACAGGAGGCGAGCCCATTGGCATTCGTTTCTACAGTACGATGATGACCGGGGTGTTTTTGAAGTTAAGAGCGTTATCCGCGGACACCGTGGGAATAATCTACAGACGGTGAATAAAGCCAAAAGATTTTGTTCTTGTGGAAAATAGACCATCTACCACATGTCGTGCGCACATGCGTTGAAGTGTTTTCAATAAGTTGGATATGGGGCAACCAACTATATTGATAGGCAATATAGTGTTGCTGAATACGTAGACACGTATAGCGGACAGTTGTAGCCATTAGGTGCTGAGCATTATTAGCCACCAGAACCTTTTAAGATGGTATGTAACAAGGACTATTTGCGCAAGCTGCAAGTGAAAAAGAGAACGCGTATACGGAACCAAATGGATGTTGGTGACACCGTTTATGCGCGTAAATGTGGCATATGCTCGCAGCCAGGACACAGCCGTCGTAAATGTCCTTCAGGTGGTGTGCGTGGCGGTGGTAATCCAGCTCCTGGTGCAATTCGTAGAATGTACCCAACTATCAAGGATACCCCTAGTCTTTTGTTTTGGTTTTGTTTTTTTTAATATGTGTCTGTACTTGTGTATGTTGCAATATATATCAAATAAAATTATGTTCCACAATCTTGTTACATCTTATTTTTTAATGTGACGTTTTGATATGGTTCAAATATTAAACTTATTTGTGTTAGTAAAGAAGACCAAGAATGTGGAATAAAAAAAATTACGTATTAAAAAATAAATCCAATATGTAAAGCGTGGTACAATAATACGTTTTATCTATTGTATTGTCGTTCTCAAAAAGTTGAAATGGCTGAAGAAAAAGCTGTTTAATTGCAGAATAACTTTAATATGTAATGCGTGGTATAATATTACGTTTTGTTGAGTTGTCATGTCGTTCTGAAAAAGCTGAAAACCATGTGAAAAACCTGTTTTGTTGCAGAATAACTTTAATATGTAAAGCATGGTATAATACTACGTTTTGTTGAGTTGTCATGTCGTTTAACTTCAATAACTAAAATACAGTATAATACTACGTTTTGTGTGAAATATTGACTATAAATAACGGGCGCATGCTACTTATGTTCTGCACTTAACAATAACCAAAGTTTCTCTTTAAGAAATGTCTGAACAACCCGTTTATGTCCCAAGGTGCTATTGCGGAGAAAAATGCAGTTTGTACAAATGGTGGCCAAATGGTGGACGCCGCTACTGAGCATGTATGAACAAGGAGGACGAGCAACCCCACAAGCCTACATGTGAATTTGAGGTATGGATGGATGAACCATGTAACCAGGAGTGCTACAAAGAAAGAATTTATGATCTTCATATTACCTGTACGAGGCAAGTGATACGGGAGCGCCGAACCAACCAAGAAATTGATGAGTTGAAGGCGAAACTCAATGAGGTAGAAGAAGAGAAAAAAAAGCTGGAAGACCAACTCCAGTGGTTGGAGCAAATAGTAGTACGCGGTCGTAACTAAACAGTGGCTTGTACGTGTTGAGCGTACTAGTGTATCTTTTCATTAGTTCTACTGTTTGTTTTTGTTATGTGTATCGTTAGATTTGCCGTGTTGGTGTTTGTGTTGTCATGTTTAAATAAAATTGCTGTTCAAATTCTGTCACAATAACTTGTGTCGTTAAACTAGAATTGTTGCCATTATCTACATAATGTATTATTTTCTTCATAGAGTTGTTCAAATATTCAACGTATTGCTAGAAACGCATGTGAAAAAGTTTTTTCCTTGCATCTTAATAATATGTAAAACACAGTATAATACTACGCTTTGTTGAGTTGTCATGTCGTTATGAAAAAGCTGAAAACCATGTGATAAAATAATGTCGTTTCAGAGAAATTTAATATGCAAAACATGGTATAATACTACGTTTTACGTGTATGTAAAGCGTGGTATAATACTACGTTATATGTGAAATCTTGCCTATAAATAACAAACGCATTCTAGTTATTTTTTGTGCTTAACAACAACCTATAGCAAATATTTTCATAAAACCAAAGTTTCTCTTTAAGAAATGTCTCGACAACCCCTTTATTGCCCAAAGTGCGACTGTGGAATCAAAAGCATGATGTACGATTGTTGAGAAGAAGCTGGACACCGCTACTGGGTGTGTATGAACATGTTTTATAGGCATCCCGGCGTACCTACATGCAATTTTAAGGTATGGATTGATGAACCATGTGAGCAGGAATATTACAAAGACAAATTGTATCATCTTTATGATGTGTGTACGGGGCAACGGGACAGAGAGCGCCAATCCAAGCTTGAAATTGCAGAGTTTAATGCGAAACTCAAAAAGGCGGAAGAAGAGAAACAAAATTTGGAAAACAAGCTCGAGTGGATGAAGCAGAGAATACTAGACGGTAGTGACTAAACAATGACATGTACGTGTTGAGCGTTGTAGTGTATCTTTATGTTTCCTTTGTCTAGTGTTTTCATTAGTTCTACTGTTTGTTTTTGTGTTAGGTTTGCAAGGTTTGTGCTTGTGTTGTACTGTTAAAGTAAAATTGCTGTTCAAACGCAATTAAAATAAAATTGTTGTTAAAAGATAATTGTTACCATTATTTACATAATGCACTATTTACACACAGTAAAAACATAAGTAAATCAATGAGTCCCGCAGCCTGTGTGCTTCAGTGCTGCTGCTGGCCTGAGTCGCATCCACTGTCGCCCGGGTACACTATCTGGATCATCATCATCAAGCGGCCTCTTTATGTGAGGATGTGCAGCAGCATCGACACCACAGCTGGCAGGATCGGAAGAATTGGCTGTCGGGTCGTCAGCAACCTACAAAACAAGTACTAATCTTAGCATGTGACAAAGTATATTTGTATTGTACGTGTTAAGTCAAAAAACATTTTCTCATCGTGGTCTCATCGGCCTCCTGAGTATATGCATCCGTGGTGTCCTCATCAAAGCATGTAGTGGCCTCAAAGATGGGCTGGGATGAAGCCTTCATAAGAAAGTTAAAAATTAATTAATGGTATCTCATTAAGGAAAAGAAAACAAATTGAAATTTTAAAGTAATACAAACATACCTGCGCCTGTGGTAGATCCGCATCAACTGCCGGGGATGAGGCATAACTTAACCTGCGCCCGCCATCCACGTCTCGGGTCGGCCGATCCTCACCTGCGGTAGATGGGCATGCAAAGTACTGGTCTACATCCCCGTCTAATGTACCTATGATCGACAATGCTCTTGATGGGGTGACCTGCGATGCTGGCAGAGATAGCTGAAGGCTGTACGATGGCATACTGCTGGAAGGCTCATCTACCTAAGGTATATAACTCGGTTGATCATCTCCATGATCCTCATCTCCAAAATCCTCATCATGTCCCTCAACAGGTGGGTCGACAGGTGCCTCAACGCCCCCTTGCTGGGGACCACCTCCTCTCAGTCTCCCGCGACCCCCGCGACCCCGTGGGTCACCCTTGCCTCGTGGGTCACCCCTCCCTCGTGCCCTACCCCTGCCTCGTGGGACAGCCCTACCCCGATGGTAGTCTTCTGGCGCCGCATACTGAGCCTCGTGATCCAACCTCGCGCCATCTCTCACTTGAAACAGGGTCCGACGAGCCAGATCTGCCACTCGCCGGCCATACTCAACGAGTGCAACACTCTCGGCATGCTGCTGCATCTCCTGTCCCAACTGGTAGACCAGGTGATGCCCAATAGCCTGTGAAACACTTAAGATATTAAAAAAATAACGCTATATAACAAATATAAGATATTAATAAGCCATAAAAACATACCAATGACTCGTGCCTCCCGGCGTATGATCTGTAGCGCTCGCCAAGTACATGAATGGGGTTCCCGATCATCAGTCAGGTGTGACGGCGGTACCATGACGTATACAGATGAATAGTAGCCTTCTAGGTAAATGAAGGTGGTGGCGGAATATGGTACTCTCGCTGCTCCCAAATATGGACCTGCTGCTCTAGCCATCCCATAAATATATCGTCCACCCTGACACAGTCATCCCGCTGATAGTGTGTAGGGACCCATGCAGGCTCCCCCAGTATAGGATGGGAACGGTGAAACTGGCGAAGCACACGCTCTGTGGCATGATACTCAACCATATCGAAGAAGATCATCGGGACGGAAGTGCTCCAAAGTAGTCGGTCGACTGAGCAATAATCGGGCGGCTGAGCTAGCAACTCGTCGTTGTATGGCGTCTAGATGAACTATCAAATAATAACATAAAAGTGAGTATGCGCAACACAAGTGAATTTATAACAAGTAAGTTTAGGTACATATTTACCTATCCGGCCACCAACATATCTAACACATCCCTGACAAGGAGGAGATTATGATGAGCATCGATCCCTCGGTAGTTCCCATGCCGGAGAACCCACCTAGAAGCTAGAGGGAGAAACGGATAAGCCTCACCGGGTGCAAGTGGTGGTAGAGGTGGATGCAACGGCATGATCCGCTGCCAGGTCCAAACCTAAGATAAAAAGTTGATGTAAAATTTATGAGTCATTTCGACCATATAGAATTCGGAGTAATGAACAGAGTATTTGAAAATGTTGTCACCTGTAGGAGGGGCAGAAATCCACATATGTCCACCGCGCAAAGCATGCTCGCCCGGCACATGCTCCTATACAGGTATGCGAGAACAACAGCACCCCAGCTGTACAAGGGCAAACCATCCAGCTACTGAAGATGATGGAGAAAACGCATACTCACTAGACTCCCCGAAGTGTTCGGGAACAAGACACACCCGAAAAGCAGGAGCAGCGCCAACCGCGTGTACCTCTCAATATGGAGATCCTCCGTCTCGCCGGTAATGTCTGGGTGCAAAAACGCCATATGATCTCTGATGCCTGACAAAGCAACGCGACTGCCCCCTCTCTGTACAGCGTCATCCTGAGGTCTATAACCAGTGAACTGCCCCATCATATCCAAATACTGTCCATGCATCATGGATCTAATGTACTGGGGCAGTGCCACGACCCGTCCATCTACGCGCAGCCCGTACAAAACCTGAATATCCTCCAGCGTGATGGTGGCCTCTCCAGTGGGCAAGTGAAAAGTATGCATCTCCGGTCTCCACCGCTCTACCAAGGCCGTGATGAGAGACCAGTCAAGCTGCATCCACCCAATCCAAAAAATCGTATAGAAACCTGTATCCTGTAGGCGCGCGACTACGCGGGCATGGAAAGGATGCTGCGCCATGAACTCCCACAAATTGTCAGGTCTCCTGGCGCGGAGAGGCTTATCCGATAGCTGTCCCTCCCATACAAAGGAGGACCTATGGTCTCCCTGCAACAGTAATAGCTTATCCTCGGCAGGTCCACGTTGCGCAGGCGAAAAGTCCATGTCGTCTATTATAATTTAAAGAAAATTAATTGTGTGTGTTAGTTTAATAAATTAAATAATTATTTTTAATATTTGACTGAGTAATTATCTATGGGTTCCTGTCTCGATTTTTGAGGCCCGGTAGCACCAAGTTATCTTTAATTATTATGCGTGTCAATTTCAACATTTTTAGAATTTTGTTAGTTTAATAAATTAAATTAAAATTCCTTGAATTGGACTTAATAATTATGTATGGGTTCCAGACTCGATATTTGAGGTCGGTAGCACCAAGCTATCCTTAATTATTATGCGTGTTAATTTCAACATTTTAGAATTTTGTTAGCTTAAACAATTAATTATTTTTAATATTGGACTGAATAATTATGTATGGGTTCCAGGCTCGATATTT